TATATATATATGTGTGTGTGTGTGTGTGTGTGTGTGTGTGCGTGTGCGCGCGCGTGTGTGCGTGTGTGTGTGTATTAGCCATGCACCCGTATCCTAAGTTATACAAATTTTCCGTGTTCCGTGTCCGCATCCGCATCCGTGCAACCTAGGTCATGTATCAGCATAAACTAATTTGTTCCTGGCTAACTTTATCTTAGCCTCGTCTTGCTACCAAATGCTCGAAAGCTCTAAATTCCTTGTTTTCTATTTGGTTGGATCTTGCTTCATGTTATTTATTTGGTTAGATCTTACTTCACTTCATGGAGCTGAAAAAGGAATATTGTTAATCAGACCTTAAGCGATAATATGTATTAATCATCTTTCCTTCTCTGTTCACAATTTTCTGGTTTTCCACTGATGAGGTTGTTGCACTGTCCTGCAGATCCACAGAAGTCTCTGTGCGTGGTTACTGGATTGCCTGCCAAGTATGGTCCCTTTAAACACAATGTTTTACTAATATCAGAACTCATATCTTGGCTCTTGCTAGCCTGTTTAGAATTTCGTAAGCGAGGTTATGGAAGTTTGGTCTCTGAAAGTTGTTATTTTTATAATGCATTCAATAAAACACTTTTATCCAATGTCACTGTCTGAAGATTATGTCGGAATCTAACTCTGTAAGCCAGATCCAAAATTTACTGGCATCACCTGATGTCAATCTCAATCCTTGGATTCTGAGATGCTTACATCTATTGCATTAATGTATTAGTCATACACAAATTCTTATTTGGATATAGTTCTGCACGATGTTCAACCCAGTAGTTATGAGTTCTGATCAGGTCATCACATATGTTGTTCATACTCTGTTAAAACCTAATAATTTTTGGATCAAAACATCCCTCTCTTTCCCAAATTTCAATCTCCAAAACTCCTCCTTCGATATTTACTTTATAAGAATAATAAGCTAATGTATGTATATGGACACAGGATACGGGCACATGGACATGACTACTTTGCGAAAATTATAACACGAGGACCTGATAGCATAACAACATTTTTATACGAACATGTGTATAGGGAAGAGTGCATCGGTGCATATATATTTCCTTCAGAACATTGATGACTATATATGTAGACGTGCGTACTGATAAAAATGCAATACATGCACATTTCCTAAATTCTAATAATATGATATAAGATATTATGTTCACATACATTCTTATGACTTCTAATTGGAAATAAACATCCGCCCATCATCTTTCTACAGAATAGTTAGTGCATCTCATTTCTTATATTAAGATAATTTTCTAAATTTATCTTTTCTGTATGCAACTCACTGCTTTGATTTCGTTAAGATGTGATTTTTAACATGTATCCTAGATGTGTTTGAGAAGTGTCAACAATGTGTCAGAAAATAAAAGTATATTATAAAATTGAGGACATGGTAGGGAAGTATTTGTGTAAAAATAGGGTTAGTTTCTAACACGAGTTGGATACGACACAGTTTGATGATTGAAGTGCCCATCTACGTAGCTGATAGGCTGTAGATTGTTACCTTTGAAAACTTAAAAACTGATTTATCTGAAAAAATTACCACAAAAGCTGATATATGCTGCCATTGTCCAAGATTGACCGACTTAAAATAGTGCATAATTTACTCGATTATAGAAGTTCACATCTTTTTGTCTTGTGCCCCTGCAGTCTGCACGTATGCGTTTTAAGTAATGTTTAAAATAGCGGAAGTGCAAGGTGAAGCGTTAAGACTCTTCAATGAAACGAGGCGTAAGGTTAAAAGCATAAGGCCTAAGCCTCATGAGTTTGAGCATTTTAATTTTAAGATATGTAAAATTATAAAGATACGATATATATTGATATAATAATTTACAAATAGATACATTCATGTCATGATTAGTAAATAAGAATTAAATATGTGAAGTGTAGACACAAATCACAATAAACTAAGCTACATGAAGTATAGACACAAATCACAATAAACTAAGCTACATGCATAACATATATATACTCACATAATCATATTGAAGATACATAGGGGCACTTTAATGTTAGTCAAAAATCCTTTTACTATCTTCCTATTTGTTGTAAAGCGTATGCTTCAAAAGAGAAGGACTTTATGAAGCGCGAAGCGCACACTTCAGTTATGCGTTAAGCGATGAGGCATAAGCTTTAAGTGATAAATAACTCCACTCTTGAGTTTTGAAGCGTTTATCCTTTAAAAAGTTTCGAAGCGGGTCTCGAAGCACGTTTCAAGAAAGCTTTTTCAAACATCGGTTTTAAGAATTATTGGATAATAAGTTAAGGTTAAAAAAAGAAACATATAAATTTAACAACTAGTGATTCCTTTCACCTCCCTGTCTGAATTACTAAATAGTGATTGGATTGTTCTGGATGCTGCAGGTATCTTGACCCGAAGACAGGTTTTCCTTATGCTACAAAAGAAGCCTTCAAAGTAATTAGGGAGAGGTAAACCCCTCTCACCATCACATTCCACTTCTGTCCATTCCCTCTAATATAACTTGCTTTCTGCATAGCAGTTTTCAAATATGAGCGTACATTAGTTTCTTCAGCTTATTGGTTTTATTATTGTCTTCAGTTCTATAAGTGTACTAATGTAACATGTTCTTGTAATGACTTTGAAGGATTAGTCATTTGCAATTAGAAAATAAAATTTTGATGTGGGCAGAAGCTTCTCTCATATTTGTTTCTTCTACTTGAATTAATTGTGACTATTGCACCTCTATGTGGATAATTTAATCCTGCAAAGATTTTCTAGATCCTTTAGTTTGCATAATACAGTTCGTCAAAGACCGCTTTTATCTATCTATTCCGGGTGTCTGGGTACTTAAGAGGTTCTCCGTTGTCGCATGAGCTAAAAACTGAGTAACTGATATTGTGAAATTTGTACTTTACTACTTCGGCCAATTCCTGAAAGTTTGTGATTCTTTCCCTCTGGGAGTTGCTGTCATGTCGGCAGGTGTGCTCATTATGCATATCAATATGACTTAGGTCATTTATTTTGCTTTATGATGATGTTTTAACAAAAAGTTACCATTCTTCTCTCTTTCCTTTTTGACATTGTTATCACATTTTGATTATCTATTTACTGTTGATAACTCGCCCTGTTGACATAGCTCCTTCCCCAGTTTGGAATGAAGTAGTTGAATTGCATTAGTAATCTGGCAGCCAGAAAGTTTGTGCGCGTGTGTGTTCATGCATGTGGTGTGTTTATCCAGCAGTCAAATTATGTTTATTGTTAATTCTGCAGCCAGCATGTGTGTGTGTGTGTGTTTTGGGTGGGGGTGTAATTTCTACTTTTATGAGAACTTTTGAGATAACTCCAGGATAACGGGTTCTTTCTTGATCCTTACCATTCAGATTGCTTAACACATCTAAATTAGATGAAAATTCATTTGGTTCCAAAACTTAATCACTTCATTCAAAATTACTTCAATGCGTTCAAGACACCTATGATCTGTTTGATTAAGTTACCGATTGTGAATTGAGATTTCCGGAAGCAGATGCACTTTGTCACTTCAGTCAAAGCACTTACTTGGATCCTCTTGTTTCTCTTTTTATGAAAAGGAAGTGCCGAAGTACTTTGTCAGGGATTGCTTTATTGAGTTTCTTTTACCACTGTGCAAAAAATCCTTATTTAAGAGGAGTTTTGTGAGTATAAGTATGCAACTTAAAATCATTGATCATTTCTTTTGTAATGTTCCTCGTACCTAATTTCCTAGGCTAAATTACCAGATTGGCATGTTTTGTACACCCCTCTTGCCAACGTGATATTTTTTCTAGCTCTGGCGAGTTTTGGTATTTTCTATGAGCCAAATATGCAATTAGATCCAAAACTTCATCGACACAAAAAAAAGACAGCCATGAAATGTTGCACGATGCTATTAATGCTATTTTATACATGAAGAAAAGTGTCAGAAGATTATTTTGCACATTGGTATAAGGATAATAACTATGTCCAAGCTTATGCAAGAATGTTGAGTCCACTACGAGAAGTAAAATTTGGGACAGAGAAAGAGAAGACATGGTATTACCTCCAAGACTCCAAAGATAGTGAAGAGAAAGCTGTGCAAAGCATTGCCGGTATTTGATATCTGTTGCTTGAATGAATTTGCTTGAACAATGAACTGCATTCTTTGGTGTCCAGCTTAATGTGCATGAACCTTTATTAAGATAAAGGTCCCTAAGGGCATTATCAATCACAGCTTACCTTACACAATCTCATTGTACCTTATTTCTATGGATCTGACTAGACAATGCCAAACTTCTTTGTTATGTAGTTGAGTTTTCACTTTTTTTCTTTTTTGATTTGTCCAGATTATTAAAAGAGGAAACCAATATGAAGGAGAAACAAAAATTGAACATGGGATGTCTATTCGATTCAATATCAGCTGAAGGGTTTTCGTCTAGAAAGAAACGATCAAGAGATGGTAGCACCAAGCCAACAGACTGGCGATTAGGAGCCAGGTTTCGGAGAATACCGGCACTCGACAAACTTGATGAAGATTAATTTCACTGGTAAATTTGCATCGTTTCAAGATATCTTGTTTTACACAATTACACCGAATATCTACTAATCCGTTACACAATCTGTAACTTGTTCTTTCTAATTCCATTGTGCATTTCTACTGTGTCCTACCCTCTTTTATTGGCCAATCAGTTACCACAATTTAAATGCATTTGTTTTAGCGGGTAATAATTTTCATAGCTGCTGTGACAGCAGTATTTGCATCAGCTCTACTGGGGAAAAACATGGAATTTGCAGAGGTTTCAGCTGGGAAGGACTATGTCCACATGGTTAAATCATCCGACTGCATCATGGCTTCTCCAGGGGGCCTCAATTTACTGGCATGTATGTATTTTAGCGTTCTTTTTGACGATGAATTGTTTTTAAGTAAGGTGATGGTGTACTCCTGTATAATCCTTTGAGGAGATGACTTTTGGTTTAGAAATATGTTGTGTATAATGGGAACTTAGCTAACTATATATACCACATACGTCTAGCCTTCAGGTTTGAAGATGGAAGTTCATGCTGTATGCATTTGTTTCCTGTTCTATCGACCAGGATGTTTGCGATTCAGTATTTATGCCTTTAGATTTCTAGGATTGAACGACTGGAGATGCTCCAGAACATTTAAAGGTCAACACCTGAGAAGTTTTGCCAACATGGAAGAACGTTGTAGTTAATGCTTTCATAAGCACTTCATTCATAACAATCTCTTGCCACTACTGTCTTTGTTCATTAACAACTTAATATAGCGCTTGAATGGAGAAAGGAACTTTGTTATTGCAAGTGTTATTTCAAAGTTTGGAGAAGTGAGATTCTGAGCATAAAAATAGCAAGCGAGTGTTAGACTGGTACGAGCATTCATTTAGGCCGTGCCTGAAGGCTTTGCGCTGAGAAATGTAAAGGACAGGAGAGTTACTGTTTTCTGATATATTATGTACACTCATACTCAAAATGTAACACGTCATTTGTCAGATTTTATGTCAAGTTCAAGTAATGACAAAAACATGTTCAAATTAACGTGAACTGCGTGACCATAAGGAATTTTGGCAATATAAGACACTTACAACTATTATAGAATTAAAAAAGGGGACGTTTTCCTCTTTTGTTTTGTTTGCTATAGAATAGAAAACGGCCTTGGCCACACAACGCTGCCGAACTGCAAAGCAGTTGGTACTTCGGCAGGCGATGTTATCTATTCGAGTTGGGGGTTTATACAAAATCTGCTTACGGATGGATCCGGAACCGCTTAAATTGCAGGGTTCTGTAGAAGAAACAGACATTAATGTTTAGCGATCTTAGGTTAGGTTATAAGCTAAGGCTCCGTCCGTAGGAGGTGTGAAGGGGAGGCGCTTCAGTCACATCTCCAACCACAATCCTCTCTCGTTACAGTGCACTAGGGCTCACATGACAATTTTTTCATTTGGGTCCCAGAGCACTGTAGCGAGAGAGGAGTGTGGTTGGAGGTGTGGTTAGGGGGTGTGCCTCTAGCATTTTCCAGTGTGAAGAGGGGAGGGAAGGTGAGGTGAGGTGCAATGAGGTGAAAGAAATGACACATCTTTTTGTGTTTCTTGTTTAAAGGGAGAGTGAGGGGATGTACATGACTTTTTCTGGTTTCGCTGAGGTGTTGGAAAGAGGAGGTGAGCTGATGAGTTAATTAAGGTACAATAATATCATTTTGTGGGAATATGTGCTTGGGTTTGGATAAAGAAAGATAAGTGGATATAAAAGCCTTTACAAGATAAATATGATGAAAAAAAGTGATGTGTCTTTTTGGTCTTTTTATTTTTGGGTCAAACACGTGATTTATAATACACTCAACATACAGTTAACCAAACACATAAAATCCTATTTATCAAGAATGCTCAATTTCTAGGTCAGGGCTCTACTAGACTTGTATGCATGTCAGGGCCCCTCTTTGGGGGCTGTTTGGTTGGCATTTTTCGCCCTTGTTTCCCTGTCAAAACTGACAAAAGCTGTCAGTTTTGACAGCTTTACTTGCAAAAACGCTCAAAAATGAGCGTTTTTGCAAGTAAAGCTATCAAAACTGACAGCTTTTGTCAGGAAAACCCAAACAAAAAAATCCAACCAAACAGCCTCTTTTCACAAACACATTGAATAGATTAAGAAAGAGACAACACATTTAAACACTCCAAACTCCAGCTTTACTTGCAAAAACGCTCAAAAATGAGCGTTTTTGCAAGTAAAGCTATCAAAACTGACAGCTTTTGTCAGGAAAACCCAAACAAAAAAATCCAACCAAACAGCCTCTTTTCACAAACACATTGAATAGATTAAGAAAGAGACAACATACTTAAAACTTTGAGATCATATACCTCATCACTATTCTATCTCTTGATAATTTGTGTTATTTACTAAACAAGCTATCACCTCATATCAGTTATTTTCCTTAGGGCCTATTTGGATTTGTAGGTGGTGAAGGAAAGTTAAGGGAAACTGAGAGAAAAGAATGGAAAGGAAGGGGAGGGAGTTCCCTTCCCCTTGGTTACACCCCAATTTGGGGGGTAACAAATTTTATACTATTAGAGGGTGAACCAAGGGGAACTAGGATGAATTAACTTCACCTCCTAAGTGTTCCCAAACAAGATGAATGGAGGTGAATGGTTCCCCTAACTTCCCTTCACCCTCATTCCCCTCAATCCAAACAAGCCCTTACAAAATAAATGTCTCATGTATGGGTATATTGATGGTAGCTTGCTTGTCGGTAGACGAATTAATTCATCCAAAAGCAGCATACTACGCCAGACCCGCATGATCCCGAGCCCCCAGCCCAAGTAGAAAACCACCCTTATTTTTGAAGATGTTGTAGGTAACCCCGTCAACTTTTAAAAATATGACTAAGTCCCCTATAACTATAGGGTGTATCACAAAAACTCCTTTATCTTTCTAGTTTTTTAAATAACGTCATAATATTATTAATTTGAAATATGTAATGACTAAAATACTATTGGTTGAAAAAAAAAAAATTCATGTGAGTTTAAAAACTCAACCTATCAATATATTTGACTTCAGCTCATAAGTTTTGACGAGGAAACTAATCTCTAATTTTTTTAAAGATTTAAAATATTACCAGCATGGATAAGTAGAAAATAAAAGAAGTTTAGTGTTTCAAAAGAAAGAAAGAAAGAAATTATTAGATTTGCACCGCAAACCTGACAAATAAGATAAAAGAATAAGAAGAGGGGGAAAATAAAATGAAAGTTACTTTTAAAAGTAAAAAAGGTAAAAAAGAACAATATGGTAAAAGATTTTAATATCTTATAAGGGATAGTATGGTCATCTGTTTAAAGGGAGAGTGAGGGGATGTACATGACTTTTTCTGGTTTCGCTGAGGTGTTGGAAAGAGGAGGTGAGCTGATGAGTTAATTAAGGTACAATAATATCATTTTGTGGGAATATGTGCTTGGGTTTGGATAAAGAAAGATAAGTGGATATAAAAGCCTTTACAAGATAAATATGATGAAAAAAAGTGATGTGTCTTTTTGGTCTTTTTATTTTTGGGTCAAACACGTGATTTATAATACACTCAACATACAGTTAACCAAACACATAAAATCCTATTTATCAAGAATGCTCAATTTCTAGGTCAGGGCTCTACTAGACTTGTATGCATGTCAGGGCCCCTCTTTGGGGGCTGTTTGGTTGGCATTTTTCGCCCTTGTTTCCCTGTCAAAACTGACAAAAGCTGTCAGTTTTGACAGCTTTACTTGCAAAAACGCTCAAAAATGAGCGTTTTTGCAAGTAAAGCTATCAAAACTGACAGCTTTTGTCAGGAAAACCCAAACAAAAAAATCCAACCAAACAGCCTCTTTTCACAAACACACTTTGAGATCATATACCTCATCACTATTCTATCTCTTGATAATTTGTGTTATTTACTAAACAAGCTATCACCTCATATCAGTTATTAATATACTTAAAACTTTGAGATCATATACCTCATCACTATTCTATCTCTTGATAATTTGTGTTATTTACTAAACAAGCTATCACCTCATATCAGTTATTTTCCTTAGGGCCTATTTGGATTTGTAGGTGGTGAAGGAAAGTTAAGGGAAACTGAGAGAAAAGAATGGAAAGGAAGGGGAGGGAGTTCCCTTCCCCTTGGTTACACCCCAATTTGGGGGGTAACAAATTTTATACTATTAGAGGGTGAACCAAGGGGAACTAGGATGAATTAACTTCACCTCCTAAGTGTTCCCAAACAAGATGAATGGAGGTGAATGGTTCCCCTAACTTCCCTTCACCCTCATTCCCCTCAATCCAAACAAGCCCTTACAAAATAAATGTCTCGTGTATGGGTATATTGATGGTAGCTTGCTTGTCGGTAGACGAATTAATTCATCCAAAAGCAGCATACTACGCCAGACCCGCATGATCCCGAGCCCCCAGCCCAAGTAGAAAACCACCCTTATTTTTGAAGATGTTGTAGGTAACCCCGTCAACTTTTAAAAATATGACTAAGTCCCCTATAACTATAGGGTGTATCACAAAAACTCCTTTATCTTTCTAGTTTTTTAAATAACGTCATAATATTATTAATTTGAAATATGTAATGACTAAAATACTATTGGTTGAAAAAAAAAAAATTCATGTGAGTTTAAAAACTCAACCTATCAATATATTTGACTTCAGCTCATAAGTTTTGACGAGGAAACTAATCTCTAATTTTTTTAAAGATTTAAAATATTACCAGCATGGATAAGTAGAAAATAAAAGAAGTTTAGTGTTTCAAAAGAAAGAAAGAAAGAAATTATTAGATTTGCACCGCAAACCTGACAAATAAGATAAAAGAATAAGAAGAGGGGGAAAATAAAATGAAAGTTACTTTTAAAAGTAAAAAAGGTAAAAAAGAACAATATGGTAAAAGATTTTAATATCTTATAAGGGATAGTATGGTCATCTTGAATCATTTGTTATTGTAGATTTAAATTATATTAGTTTAGTGGGTTAAGTAAGAAGAGTTAAGGTGAGATAAATAATATTTTAAAAGTTAAGGGGGTTATCTAAATAACTCTATATGTGAGGGGTTTTCCAGAGCTAAAATAGTCGTGGAAGTGCGATAACCTCCATAGTTGAGGGGGATTTGTAAAATTAACCCTTTTCCCCCCTTTGTCCTCTCTTCCCCCTCTTCTTCTCCATCCTCCAGTTGATGAATCTCTATTCTCTCTAAATCTAGGGCTAGGGTTTCTCACTCGTTAAAAAAAATGTCAGGTAAGTTGATGCCCAATCTCGATCAACAGAGCACCAAGCTCCTCAACCTCACCGTCCTTCAGAGGATCGATCCCTTCGTTGGGGAGATTCTCATGACCGCAACTCATGTAACCTTCTATGAATTCAATATCGAGCTCAATCAATGGGTGCGTTGATCGAATTCTCTATATTTTTTTATCAATTTTGTTGGTCTCCAATCTGATTAGGGCTTCCGCTTGATTTTGTTTGTAGAGCCGCAAGGATGTTGAAGGATCTCTCTTCGTTGTCAAGAGGTGAGTCGGATCTCGGCGATGACGTTTAGGATTTATTCGATTAGGGTTTAGGTGATCTCGACTTTAATTCGAGCTTTTTTATTCACAGTTGGATTAGCTTCTGATGCTATTGTTCTTGTTTATTTGATAGTTGTACTGCTGAGTTGCTGTTATTTTAGGTTTTAACCTTTTTCTTTTAAAGGATATTTTTTTGCATTTAGTTGTTTCTGTTCTTGCCTGTGATGTCGGATTCTAGTTCTTCCAAATCAGATTGAAGAAATTGTTGGGTTTTTTTTTCTGCAGGAACACTCAACCAAGATTTCAGTTTATTGTCATGAATCGACGTAGCACAGGTTAGTATTTGAACTTAGGAACTATATACTGTGGCTAGCTTTCAAGTTCGTGTATTGGCCTTCTCAAGTGTTATGTTGTGTGGAAGTAGTTCTGTTGGGATGTGATGACAATACAAGAATAGTACTATATCTTTCATTGTCACCAGATTTACACAGAAACCAATTGCTCCTTTATTACATCCATCTTTTTCGACAGTCGTGTGAACTGGATCAAATTAAGTAACCATCTTGTATAAGTTGAAGATATAAAATTTGACGACAACAAGAACAACGCCTTCATCCCAGATGTTTTGGGTCAGCTACATGAATCCTACTCTTCCATTCTATTCTATTATACGTCACCTCCTCTTTTAAGTCGACCATTTTCATATCATTCTTAATTGTTTCCAACCAAGTTCTCTTGGGTCTACCTCTAAATCTCTTTGCCGCAATGACTATAACATTATCACTTTTCCTAACCGGTGCACTAAAAGCTCTTTTTATGTACATGTCCAAACCACCTTACTCTATTCTCTCGCATTACAATATATGATGAAAATACTTATCCCAAGGAAAGTTTTATAGCATGAGTCATGGCGAATAAATTATATGCAACCCTTGGTTTCCTTCCTCCACTTACAACAGTTAGGAGGCCTCTTATTCCATGTCATGATGTCAATGCTGACGTTGGGTTTCTTATGACTAACTGGACCTATCTTGTATTTACTTTTATTGATGCTGGCTCCAGTTTTTTTGCTCCATCAGCATGATATCTACCTTAATACGTAAGCCACTTATTTGATGTGCAGAGGGCATATTGGATTTAAAAAGACATCATAAGGATTTTTGTAATTTTTATATGTTGCATTTTCTTATCTGTTCTTTTGGCCGATGTTAGAACTATGTATGGTGCTTCTGTCGAGTCTATGCTTAATAGAAGCTTTTCATAAATGTGATACTCCGATGCATCGATATGCCAAATTGACCAACATGCGTGTGTAGGGGTATGTATCTGATTCTGGTACGCATTGACTCACACTGGGTTTGAATCAGGTGCATCCCCTGAGTCCAACACGAACCCAATTCAAAACAAGTGCTGGTACGAACCAGATCTGGTTCTGCAAGTTATATGTTTGTTGGTTTGGCACCCCTGGCCCTACCTGCAAACTTGCCATTACCGAGTTTGAGAACCTAAAGTAACAATTGTACCCATCTTTCCATCTCCTCTCTGGGTGTGGGTGTCTTCTAAGTATCATCCCCTCTGTCTTATCACCTTACTATAGCAGCTGGTATTTCCTCAAGAGTATCATAACATGCTCTTTAGAGACTGGTTACAGATCACATTTTAGTGGAAAGATTGGATTTTTAGCACTTGAATTGTTAGGTTCAAACATGAGTTTTCACGAGAAAGATAGATTTTAACGGGCAGTTTTTTATTTGGGGACTTTTTGATGTAGAGGTAGTTTTGATTTTCCTTTGAAATATTGTGATGATTTAGTGTATTAGTTTTAGTTTTTGTTTCATTATGGTTATGTCTTACATGAACATAAGCTAGTTTTTGGTTACTTATTTAAGTAATTTGTTCAATAACATAGAAATTCAGATTTAGGGTTTAGATAAATATATTAATATATTTTTTTCAGTTCAGATTGCATATCGGTTTGGAGTTTGTCGTTTTCTTACTTGATTAGTATTAAGTCAAGTCTTTGATGAATCTGTTATAATCTTAATTTTTGTTGGTGATATCATGATGTAATATATTTTGCTTGAAGAGGTTTGTAACTGGAAGAGTGGCTAATCATATGCTGACTTCTAAAATAATATTTCTTACAAATGAAACTAAAATTGTTTTTAACTATTTTATAAGGAAAATAGTATAATGTATTATTATTATTTAATTTCTTTTACCAATGGGGTTGCCATAATTTGACATTATTATTATTATTATTATTATTATTTCAAATTTTATGTACCAACAACACTTCTTAGCATTAAACCAAGTCTTAATATCATTTTTTGATTCCTTTGAGCGCCTCTGTAGTTAAATCTGATGATGGGCATTGCTACAAAGAGGTATTTTTCTCCTTTTTCGTTATATATACCAGAGTTCGTTGAAGTGTAGAAATAACATATGTTGCATGCTCATTTATCTTGATTATTTGAAGACAAACATATGATAGGTTAGTAGAAGAGTTGAGGGCTATGTGGGCAACAGGTAGTTAGTTATTCAGGGTTATGTGGGCAACAGAAAGTTAATACACATTAATCAATGCATGAACTTCAAATTTCCCTTTTTACATGTTTAACAAGAGCTTCTTTCTGCTATTAACAGATAATCTGGTGGAGGACCTCTTAGGTGATTTTGAATATGAAGTTCAGGCTCCTTATTTATTGTACCGAAATGGAGCACAAGAAGTAAATGGTATATGGTTTTATAATTCACAGGATTGTGAAGCTGTGGCAGGCCTTTTCAGCAGGTATTGTCATTTTTGCATTGTCAACTGTAGCCGATGAGTTGCTCTCTATTTTGTTTCCATTTGTTTTACTTCATTGAAGCTTCTAAAGCATTTCGGGTATTTATATGTTAGCTTTTTTATGTTGTTTGTAAACTGTGCAAGGATAGTTTCTTTGTCAGTGAGATATGTATTGGAGACCTCATTACTTGATTCTATCTTCTAAGATCCAACTGATGTCATTTGTCCAGGATTCTTAGTGCATTTTCCAAGGTCCCTCCAAAGCCTAAAGTATCTTCCGCCAAAAGGTAATCTATGCTTTTGCTAATCATGTAGAATAAGCACTAGTGATCTACTCATCTGCACTTCTACTCTTATGTATTATCTTGTTAAAATTTGATTTCATAATTGAGAGAACAATAGCATGTACATGGTCATCTCAATCAGCTATGATTCCAAAATGTATAATTTTTGTAAGGTGGTTTTATTTTTGGATTTGTGAACTAATAGTTGCATAGTTCTTTTCGTGAGAGTCCTTGAAATAAAAGCTGATTATATCTTTCTCAGTCCCCATTGTATTGATAGAGCAATATTTAGGTTTTATATTACTGTGTAGAACATAGTATGTTTTGGTGCAGCATTTCTCAGTTCTTGCTCTTCAAATGTTGCAATAGCATACAGTCACATCTATGTTGCCCCTTACTTATGGGCTGTAGAATATCAACATTTATATCATACTGCAGGCGACATCTATAGAAACATACTTATGGTGACATTGCAAAAAATGTTGAAAATAACGATAAGTCGATAACACAACATAATGTTCGCCTCCGGATAACTTAAAACACAATACGAAGTTAACACCATCATCTCCACAGCCTGATGGTCATCTCCAGCATTGCTTGCGAGGCCACCACTCTGAGTAGGCCGGTCTTCAAAGAGGACCCGTTGTTGCTTTGCCAGAGTCTGGTGACCATGCCAGTGGTTAGTCCGGCCCCTTCTGGGATTGTTTTATTCATTGCTTGGGCAGTTATGAGCTGAAAAAATTGAATGTTACTCAAGTTTCCTATGTTTACTTTTATATCTATACATTTCCTATTATGTGGTCAAGCTTAGTTTTTGCAAACTATAATCTTCATCCATATGAGGCGGTGCAACTATTAGCATCACCTTGGAAATGATTTATTCTATGGAGGAACCACATGTCATCTGATTATTATTAACATAGTGTTGTCCTAAAAAGTTCACAAGTGACCCATTTGTATTATTGGGAATAGTTCATAAGCGTTCTTTATACTGTTCTCTTGACATAACTAAGAGTGAAATAGTTTATTTCTTATGAAACAGATCTGTTTTTCCCCTATCTTTTTGTTGCAAACACCTAGAGGCCAGATATCCTGAACTGGTGTCTTTTGTCTAATCTGCAGCAGTGAATTTGAGGAATTGGAAGCAGTTCCTAGTTTAGATGTCATTGAAGGTCCTCTTGAACCATCAAGATCTTCTGTTGCCACGTCGGTGCCTGACGTTCCCGATAGCTCATTCGTGAACTTTTTCAGTGTAAGCTCTTGTTAATAGTTGACTAGTCATGAACCTTCATCATACATGTCATGTTTGGACGTTTGTTTCTATTTTAGTTATGCACAGCCTTTGAAGTTCTTTTTTTAAGTACTTGCTTCTCCCGGCATCATTTAATCTACCATCTTAGGACATTCTTCGACCTCTTTCTAATTGACCCTATCAAGTAGGAGTATGGGATTAGCATCTAATCCACCCACCTGCACACATGGAAAAAAGAAAAAAGAAAGAATAACTAACTATTAAGGATGATAGCTCTACTGCACAAAACCACCATTAATGAATTTTTGAAAAGAATGAATTATTTTCACACGTGGTCTTGGGTCATTATTGATTTGAGTCATTTGTTCATTTGCAGGCAGCAATGAATATTGGAAATGCTCCAACTGTTGCAACTGCAGGACAGCCACACCCATCGTCTGCAAATACTCCCATACCTTCATCACATTCACCAAATGCCATCCCATCCACCGTGTCGATTCTTCAGTCTGCACCCTCTCATCCGACTTCATCCGCTCCATTAGTGCCTTTTCTTGATCCTCAAGAATCTAGTAACAACCACTCTACAAATCTTGTTAAACCTTCCTTTTTCTCACCCCCAACTTCTTCAATGATGATGCCGCAAATTCCAACTTCAGTGCCAACTGCTCCTCCTTTACATCCTCCGGTGACCATGCAACGGCCATATGGCACTCCATTACTTCAACCCTTTCCACCACCAAATCCACCTCCATCTCTTACTCCTGTTCCAAGTGGACCAGGTATCACAAAGGAAAAGGTTCGTGATGCGTTATTGCGGCTTGTGCAGGTACGTTCTCTAATGGTGTTTTCCTTTGTTCATGTCTGTTACCATTATGATTGTGCATATAAATGTACCTAAAAGTAGTATCCCATGATGTGAACCCTGGGAGGACTAAATACTGTGTCTAGTGTTTCTCTCTACATTAGTTATTCCTGCCTTTGGCTCATAGGTTTGCACAGAAATCTATTATATTTATTCCGTCGCTCCATGACTCAACATCCATTTTCATTATCTACAGCACTTACAGATAAATAAGTTAGTACAGAATGACAAACCCCTTTACTGAAATTAGTCTGTCATATATGAATAACAACCTATTCATGTACTATAGAATTCATGTATTACATATATACGCAAGTCATACAAATATCCAAATATTGTTGCGTCCTCATGTCTGGATCTTGGACGGTTGTTGTGTCTGGCACTCCATGTCCATTCTGATATATGACACTCTTGTCCGTGTCTACAAATCATATCGCCGGAAATCATAAGTTTTCTGATGCTTAACCAAATTATGATTATGCTTTTGCCTTGTGATGTTGGTAACTTTTCTCCATGGCGTTCTTTTTGTGTAGTATTGCATTCATAAAGGAAACCTTTGCAATTTCAGTACCTGCACATGGATTTTATTATACATCATATCAGATTGGTATTGCACATAACATCCCCCTTTTTTTCGCAGAATAATGAGTTCATTGATATGGTATACAGAGAGATGCTGAATGCACACAATGCATAGTTGACCAAGACTCGATGACTGGTTTTGTTAAATGTAGATTGTGTTTGATGTTTATCTAGAGTGAGGTTTTGTATATCTTCCGTCAAGTCAGTTGTGGTGAGTGGAATTTTGTTAGTTTGTCCATTTTGACACTTTGTTCCCCTCTTTTGCCTTTTGCTGTTTATGTTGTGAATGGAGGTATATTTAAAAGTATGGCGCAGGAGTTTCAGGTTCAAAGCATCTCGCATATTCTCTTCAAATTTGGTTGTCGTTTGAGTTACAAGAGCATGTGGTATTTGAACATTTGAACTTGCTCTTTCCTTTAATCCTTTGTAGATGTGATTCTGGCAACAATTTAATCTAGTAACGGTACGATTTTAGTTATTGATTATAGTAGAGATAGCTACACTACTACTCCACTTGCGTTATTACTGTACCACAAAAGAGAAGAGTTGAATCGTAATTTTTTAAACATCTTTTCAAAATTGATAACTATCAAGGGAACTCACATTTTTCTTTTTTGTAGTGTGTGTACCGTAGAAAAATATGTTGTAGTTATCATTATTCTTTTGATTAGACAATCACCCATGACTCCATAAACGTGAACGGCAATGATTGTAATGAATGTCTTTGTATTAGCATTGTGATGGATGTCTTTGTATTAGCCATCTTCTGATGCATAAAATTTCACATAGGTTGAAGAATATTATCAGCAAATGTAGCTTCGTATCTTTGATCAACAAGTTCTTATCGGGTTCTTGACGTTCCAAGCGTATGTTTGATAAGCTTTAGCAGAGAAGTGCTTGCTATGTTTGTGAGTATGCCTATTTTCCTCAAATTCCATCCCCCCCCCCCCCCCCCCCCCCCCCCCTCTTCGTAGGTTAATCCATACAAGTCGAAGAGGATAGCCTGTGCCGTCACCAAAAAAAAAAAAAGAGAAGATTGCCTGACCTACAAATCAGCTGCCTAGTTTCAACGTCTATACCTAATATAAATCATAATCACTAATTTGTCAATTACATAACAAATATTATAGGTTTTGGTCAATATTCACGCTAATGGTTTAGGAACCCTTTGTCAGCAAAACCCCACATTATATTGGAGAAAGTACACTATAAGGGAGCTAGTAACAAAAGAAAGTTCCCCTTTCCCGCTACTTCATATAAACCCCTAGACATTAGTCCAATCAAACCACCCCAAAATGAACTCCAACCCCCAAAAATGCTAGCAAAGATCATCTTCATCATTGCAGTCATAGGAGCAATACTCTCCGTTATCCTCCTAGCTTTATTCTCACATCCATCTCACGTTAGCCCACAAAACGGACATCCTCTTGCAATCTCGCTCTATTTGCAAAAAAACACTCACCCTCCAAATCCTCTTCACGAGCAGCAAACCCTTCATACAAACAAAGCATTCATTTTCCATCATGAACTCAGTGAGGGTCCTCATAACACATCTAAAATCATCGGTAAAGCACAAGGTTTGGTTCTGCCTGTCGAAAACTTTGCCTTGGTTGCTTTCGATATCATATATCTCACTTTCGATACGCCAGAGTATTCCGGGAGTATTGGAATAGAGGCAACGAGAGCGAGGCGTAGTAAAAGAGAAGAGTTTGTTGTTGTTGGAGGTACTGGATTTTTCGCCTTTGCTCGAGGGGTTGCAGTTTTTGTACGGAGGGATAACCGGCAATCTGATTTTGATGCTGTGCATTATATCAAGCTAAGGCTGAGTTTACCTGGAAAGTTTTGAACAATAGAGGGATTTGCTCTGATACAATTCAAATTCATTGTTGAATTCCATTTTACTTTACTCAAAAGCTTTCTTTTTTTCTTTTTCTGGTGGAGTTACAAGTTCTTTATATGATTTATATTGAATGCACAATGCTGCAATCATGATAGTTTGAACTGCATATTTAGAATACTCATGAAAGTTTTGGTGATCAAATTAACCAAAAGATAATTGAGTTCTTTGTTATCTGGTTTGGGGGATTAAAAATTTTACGGAATTCCCATTCACAGTTTCGTTGAGGTCGAGTTGATGTATCACATAGACAGAAGAGGTAAAAAGATGCAGTGGGACAATTCAGTAACAACCCAAACCGAAATATTTTTTTCTTGAATCTCATTTTACATCACCCTCCAGATTATTCAATAACTATTGCAATCCATAACCCCCATAATCAGAGGAAACATTTTACCAAATGCATCCTCACAACCTTCTGTCACTTAAAATAAGCTGACGATTACATTCAGTGTTTTTTACCAATCACTCTCAATGTCTTAATTTCGTGCCTTCGACATCTACACGTCTGAGGAACGATCTAGATACGCCAATGCAACGGCAGCGTGAAAAGCAGCACCCATCGGAAGTGCCTCCTCATCCACAAAGAAATATGGTGAATGCAAGTCATGGACTGATCCAATGGACTCATTTCTAATGCCAATGTTGAATCCTGCACCGGGCATTTTCTGTGTATAGAAGCTGAAGTCCTCTGCTCCCATAACCAATGGGCTAAGCCCAAAGTTGGCTTCACCAAATAGGCCCTCTCCAACTCTCTTCGCATGCTTGTAAATGCCTTCGTCGTTGAAAGTCACAGGATATGGTCGGTGAGTCTTTTCCATGAAGTCCACTTCGGCGGTACATTGGTGGACCAAAGATTGTGCCTCGATGACCTATGAAGGAAAAATATTCGAATCAAATAACTAGTTATGTGACTTTTCATCTTCTTTATTCTTTATTATTAATATTTTTTCTTCTTCTTTTTTTCCTAGGCTAAAATGTTTCTTCTCTATACTTCATCTAAATCTAATACGAAACTTCACAATTTTTAAAATTTTTATGAGCACAACAACAATATATGATTTGAGACCATGTCTTTTGATTATAACCATCCATTACTTAATGGATCATTATGATTCATTCTAAATTTAACGCTTACCATGAGCCATAAATGACACTCATTCCTAATTTGCACTCACTAATAAGTATCACGACCATCCAATAAATAATAACCCAATAAATAATAAATAATTGGGATCAATGCATTGCTCTTTCTACTACGTTTTGGTACCGGAGAGGATCCAAATCCAACATTATATTACTGAATTCCATGGACCGCACATGTAGAAACTAGTTAGAGACGGGAGAACTCACTCCTAAAAACTACTTCATGGAGGAAGGGAACAGATCCCAAAAAAAACCTGAAATCCATTTCTTAAACTATCAATGTGGGACTAAATGAACCCTAGCATATTCCCACATGCAGTCCCAACGACAATGCAAACTAGCTTTGCACTAGTCTAATCTCAGCCAAACACTATTCTGGTGTTAACCTCTTTTTCTTTGCACAGATTAATTGCGAGTTAACAATGCAATGCCGGTATCAAATTCCCAACTTCTTCTTTGTAACTGGGAAGATGGTGTTTGTTCTGACATCATTCATTAGACCTAGAAGAATTAACCCTAGCAACGATTAACTCTCTGTTCAGTCAATATGGGATTAAATGAATGCTAACATGCTACAATGGATGACCAGTATCAAGTTTAAAGGTCGCAGTTAATTTTCCATAAGGTCAAAATTATGTGGCAATCACAGATAGTTTGAAACATGTTTCATACGCTTGTTTTTGTTTTCGGTTATTGAAATGGAAAACAGTTAACTTTTGTGCTGGATTTAAACAATGTTGGTTGAATTAGAGTTCCCCGAGATACCTCTCTGATGCGTTTCATGAGATGATAGAGACCCTCTGTGGATAAGCTCCTGAAAGTTCCTCCAAAGGTCACAGTTTCTGGGATAATGTTGAAAGCACTTCCACCCTCTACAAATCCAACTGCTACTACCTGTTGACAGAAGAAAATGGTTATTTTCTTCATGAAAGCAATTTTGAGCCTATTTTTATCAACAAGAGAATATTTTTTTTGTTGAGCTTCATCTGATTCATATTAATAAGAAAGAGAGGATTTAAAAATATTTTCAATATCCTCTGATGAAAAGGGAGTTCTTTTCTCAGTGACATTGCTCAAAGCATAGCATGTGACAAACTCAGTGTAATATGGGATCCTTCATCACATTCCATGATTTTAAATATGATAAAGAGATATACAAATTTAGAGTCGGCCTTCTGGAAAGAACCCAAGATACCATAATGGAAGATAAACAACAGCAACAACAACTACTACTACTAAGCTTTTAACCCAGAATTTTCCATTCCGTTATAGTACGGGGAGATACAATAACCGAAGCTAAAAAGAAAAAATGGGTTACCACCAGAGAAATTTTCTACACTGAATGTATAGAGGGTTGTCTCTAGATTCAGCATGTGGTAATATCAGAAAGTCAAGATGTACTAATTTTATCTTTTAAGGGCAACATAATCCATTGCAGCGGCTTCACTTCAGAGTAAACTTTCAAGTTGAACAGTTTTTGAGTTTCTTTTTGTGGATAAAGGGGGAATTTGGATGACATCCTTGAGTTGGTGTTCACACAATTAACTCTCCAAGTGATGGATCCAAGAATTATTAATTAGGATGTGGAGATTTCAGCTCATGAACTCCACTTCTATACGGAATCTCCCATAACCAATTTCATGGAAGTCTTATCACCGTATATATGCACTAATAACAAAGCAAATAGTTCTCCCTAAAACAAAATAAGATATATGGAAGATCAACAAGTAAGATATAAAAATCAATATGCTTCATAACTAAAATGAAAAATCAGCTTACATTGCTTTCATGAGGATCTGATTCCCGAGATATAAGCTGCTGAAGACTTAGAATTGCAAAAGATGCAGCTACAAGTGGATCAACTGCTTTGTGTGGAAAAGCTGCATGCCCACCTTTTCCTCTAATAGTTGCTACAAAACGACCAGATGCTGCAAGATAAGGCCCAGGCCTAGAGGAAATGCTCCCTGTTGGAATTCTTGGATCAACATGGATACAAAATATGCCCTCTAAATCGTCCAAAACACCTTCTTGTAGCACATGATAACCGCCAGCTAGGCCCTCTTCAGCCGGTTGGAAAACGAGCTTCACAGAACCCTTCAAAAAAGTATAATCAAGCCAGATTAATAACTATTCCAGAATTAGGTAGCGCTAATGAAGCTTCATGCCTATGATTTAACCAAGGCAAAAGTAAGGGATAATTCTCAGCACAATTTATACTGAGGTTTTTTTTTGGATATCAGTACCCCAATCATTGAAATTGCTATTAGGTCCCCCAATTCTAGAAAGTGCTTCGAAGTAATCCCTCTATTGCTAAGTCTACTCTTGATTTGAGGGACGAATTCTGAAAACTTTGCGAGAATTGGAGAACGTGATAGTAACTTCAATGATTTGAGGGACTAATTTCAAAATATTAAAGATTTAAGGGACTAACATAAAAAAACCCTTTACACTATTGATCCTAATCATTCATCTAAAACATATCACTCATGGGTAAATAAAATATCTCATTTGTTCAAAGCTTGATAATTAAAAATGTACCTTGAGATTATTCTTATTACGTTGCAACAACTTGGCAGCACCAAGAAGCATGGTAACATGAGTATCATGACCACAGGCATGCATTTTTCCACTTTGCTTGCTCTTATACTTCCAATCTACTAGTTCCTTGCACAAGATAACTCTTGAAAACAGTTAGCAATGTTTCACTACTTGGCAGTAATGAATGTGAAATTGCAACATCAAGCTCAAATGAAAAAGCATGAATTTGAAGTTGTAATAGTAGATGGCCCTTCAAGATAAAACTGCACCAAGTTAGCATCATTAACATTATTCTAATCTCATCACTATGGCTTCTGGAAAGATTATGCAAGTTTATCGACAACAATTATAGGTAGAGATGGAGCACATGTGAGTTTGCTATAATGCACAGGTGAGCGTACATAAAAACAAGTGAGACAGAGACATTTGATATGATTTAGACAGGTCACTTGTATGATTATCATGTCTGCTTCATACTTATGATAGTAGCACTGCGTTCTTCATGCTTACCCATGAATGCAGGCAGTTAATACTGACTTCAGTTTCCCAAGTAATACCCCAAAGTTTCACGAATTTAACTTTAATAACATCTGTTACGTCACCATTCAGATTTTTGTTTAAAAATGCATCACATGACTTAGATAACATTTGGACTTGCATTATTCACAAAAATAAAAATATTTAGACTTATATACTCCTAATCTGAAAGGGAATTCCTCTGAATCCTTCTCTTCCGTGTTCTAAGTAAAAAACACGGAAATTTGGTATTGAATTGTAGCAAACATAACTCATGTTAAAAAAGACAGCAAAAGCTTGAAAGAAAAAAATATATTGGATGGAAGAATTAACAAGAAAAGTTTTTTGGCAAAAATTCAAGGATGATGAAACTTTGGGATATTACTTTGGTAAATTTAACTTTAGGGTTAATTACAGGAAACCCCACAAACTTTCGGGAAGCTACAATAAACACCCATCAACTTTTTTTATTACGTTAAATCCTCTAAACTTCAGGAGTTATTGCATATAACACCCATGAACTATTCTATTTCATTAAATCTTGCCTAAAAATTTATCTTTTAATCCCCATATTAGCACCATCAAAACTTTAATGTGTCACTGATAAGCACAGTACAGAAAAAGAAATAAAAAAAATTCCTTCCTTCTTAGTCCCAAAGGAAATTCTTTTACTAAAAAGGAAAGTAAGTAACATTTTGAGACTAAGGAATTATTTTCATCTTTTTTTTTCTGGAACATGCTTGCCACATGAGATGTTAAAGTTGATAATGCTAATTTTGAGATTAAATGATAAGTTTTCATGTGTAATTTGGTGAAATAAAAGAGTAGATGGGAGTTACGTGCAACAACTCCTGAAGTTTCAAGGGGGTTTAGTGTAAGAAAAAAAAAGTTGATGGGAGTTTACTGTAACTTCTCAAAAGTCTGTAATTAACCCTCAACTTTAGGGTATTAAAGTTAACAATTGATGAAACTTTAGGGAAATAAAGTGCAATTAACCCAAAACTTTATTGCTCTAATCCTATATCCAGTAGGCTCTTCTTTGGTTTAGATTTGTCCCTTAAAATGCTCAGTTGCTAGGCTAAAACCCTTCTGATTTCATTTTGTTTCTTTCAAGTTTGTACCTTGCAGTGCATTAACATTATACTGGATCTTACGTTTAAAGTTGTTGGTTTTGGCTAATCTTTTTCGCACATCGAATTTTCTGATTGCAAGATCATATTGTTATAAATTTTCTTTAGCTAAATGTTTTCCAACTTAGGATGGGTACTTGATCCTTTCAGTGTTAGAAAACCATTATTACCAAAAATGGAAACCCTCTACCAAAATTTCCTAAAAACCCCTAATCTCCATCAAACTCAAAGGAGAAAAAAAAATTCAATCAAGATGCTTGATGAAACTACCTGAAGAGCAAGCGCATCCATGTCAGCTCTGAGCCCAAACTTGGGACCATCCTCACTCCCAATTGAAGCAACAACTCCAGTTTTAGCAACAGGCCATAAATACTCAATTCCCATCGCATCGAGCTCCGATCTTATGAGCTCACTGGTCTCAAATTCTTGACAAGCAAGTTCTGGGTTTTGGTGGATTTTTCTCCTTGTGCTCTTCAACCACTCGAAGAACTCGGGTTTTTGAGCAGATTCTAGAAGCTCTTGAGATGAGGTTGAAGCATGGGTTAATGAAGAGAGGAGAGTGGAGAATAATAGCAGAGAGAAATAGAGGGAGAGATTTGAGGTGGAAGAAGACATTGAGACTAGAGAAGAGTCTTGACCAGGATCAGGGGCTTTTTAAGTATTGAGACTAGAGATTTGAGGCGGTTAGATTACCTCCATTAACATCACAAACAAATTTGTCTTGAAAACAAATTTGTCTCAATGTCTTTACTGGGAAAACAAATTTGTCTTTACTGGAAACTTACCATGGTTACTAGGGGTGCTAAATCGTATCCATATCCGACAAAATATCCATAACCGTATCCGTTAGGATACAAATATGGTTACTTAAATCTATAACCGATAGGATATGGTTACGAATATGGTTTTGTAGTGAAATATCTATATCTGTATCCGAAATATCCGAATACATATTAGTCATACTCTTACGATAGTTTCGATTCTTAGATTATGGATTTGTGGTTAATTTTGATGATCAAAATGTCTAATCTTAACTTTTCAATTATAATGAGCATATTAACAAACTCTTTTGTATCACATGAACTATGTTTTTCTCAATACTATCTAGTTTTTTCATATCTGTTTTGTATCTGCATGCATATCCGCTTATATATCCACATGTATATCCTTAACCGTATCCGATTTTAGCGGATATGGTTATAAATTTTTCTTACCGAGGTATATCCGTATCCGTATCCGAGATGGGTAAGCGAATATGGATATGATAAGCATCATATCCGAGCCGTATCCGGACCAAATGCACCCCTAATGGTTACCATATGCACTTTTTACTACACACTTTTATGTCAACCAAACACAAGAAAAGTGTCAGTCCAATGTGAACCCAAGGATGTCAAACCTGTCATGCACACACACACTATGCAAAGACACGTTTCACCATCACAATAATATATGTCTAGTGGAATCAATTAATAAGTGTAGGGACAAACCAACCAAATAAAGATAACGATACAATGGACATAACATAAAGAAGAGATATCCAGATAATCATGTTCCAACTGAATAAAATAGAACACTATGAAATATCTCAATACATAGAGTCAAATAAAATAGTACTAAGGCACTTAGCCTTTACAAAATGAAATACAATTCTATTGTCTGAAAACAAATAATAATCTCCTGTGAGCTCTGAATATCAATAATATAAGTAATAATGGAAACAAAGCTGAAACTCCATCAACCTGCGACTCTCCGTGCGCCTGACTCGTTGCCTGAAAAGTAGGGAAACAACGAGCGTCAAAGCGCTAACAAGATCGTTTCCATCCGCCCCCAGGGGTAAGGGCTGCTACATATGATGGAAGCTCTACCTATATCTGCATAGTCTACCTAAATTATTTACCCTATACTAGATGGGGTTAATACTTAGAAATCCACAACATGAGATTGGTACATCGAGCGAAATAATCCAAACAAGAAAACCCTCATGTATATACCATATGTCTCAAATTGTGCATCGCTAAATATCAACTCAAAAAAAATAAAGGAATAAAGAAATGCAATACTAAAATATCAACCAAACCAAGTCATATATGTCAACCCCACATCTCATGCTACCCTTGGGTAGTCAATATGAATATCAGTACATAATCCTGTCTAATTCACAATACCATATATCCCAAAAAAAAAAAAAAAAAACTCAATGGTGAACCACGTAAAAAAATGACCTCCCACCTAAAACTTGAGTTGTTAAAGGTTTCATAATATGATCTCTTGCAAAGTTCTATGGTATCATCGCATCATTGTGCGAAACGGGCTACCTGTTCAGACATCCTAAGTAAATACGGCCCACTAGCCTCATCGCATCACCGTGCGGAATGGACTACCTCCTTGGGTATCCTACAAGTACGACTCATTAGCCTCATAGCATCATCGTGCGGAACAGACTGTCTCCTCAGACATCCTCATCGCATCACCATGCGGAACGGACTGCCTCCTCAGACATCCTATAAATACAGCTCACTAGCCTCATTGCATCACCATGCGGAACAGACTATCTCCTCAGGCATCCTCATCGCATCATCATGAGGAACAGACTACCTATTCAGGCATCCTGCAATTACGGCTCAATGGCCTACTTCAACGGTATACCGACACACTACCTTAAGCAGTACTGAGTTGTGTGTAGGATCTGAAATAGATACACTAGAACACTAGAGGGGGGTGAATAGTATTCTTTTAAAATTTATGCAAAGTAGATTATAAATTGTAAAGAAAAATGGCAATCTCAGAAATTCACAATCACAAACATAAGGATTTATACTGGTTCCACCAATCCGGTGTACATCCAGTCCCCAAGCAAATCCCGCTTGAGAGTTTCTACTATGATTTTGAATAAACTTATAAAATCAAAAGCAAACCTGACCAATTTGCAAGACCATGCAAATTGCAACACCAATTGACAAGACCATGCCAATTGCCACCCAATCTCTAAACCAAGAGATCAACCCTCTCAAACCCGAGAGAAATCCTTGTTGAAAAAAGAACACAATTGATCCTATAAGCCTTGAATGTGTAGTGAAGTGCTGCAGTGGCTTAGGATTCTTTTAACTCTCTGAATATTGCCTATACAATCTCTAAGAATGATTGAAACCAAGGCAATATCAGAAACTCTCTTTTTCTAAACACTTAGCATGAAAAATCTGGAAAATTAGAGAGTGAATATGCACAAAATGTTTGATCTTGCAAGTATAAAACTTGGTTGTTGTTTTCTGATGTTTAAACCTATTTATAGCCTCTGAAATGACATAATTTTAAACTCAATTAACGTCCACAAAACGGCTATAAACAGTCACTTATTTAAAACCTGAAATCTGAAAAAACTGCATCTGTAGTCGACTACAACAGAAATATATATTTAAGTTTTATACACGAGTAGTCGACTACTATTCTAATTAGTCGACTACTAAGAGTAAAAATTATGAAATAAAATATTTTTATACTTAAGTTTTAACTATAATTCTAATGGTTAACATAGGGGATTTCTATAGTTAACCAACACACTAAGCCTGTGTTAGTGTGTTCTAATATTGTGTGTGTGCGTGTGTGTGATTAAGGCTTGTACAAAAATTCTAAATAAAGAAAATGTAAAATACATTATCTCATATGTTCTTCATTTTCTTCACTTCATAATGCCTTGAAATCAACTTGCACTTGTTCATATTCTGATATTGAAATCTGCATATAAAAGTTAGTGCACACATTGTATAAATTGTTATCATCAAAATATTCTCATGGAGATATGATATTCAACATTCTCCCCCTTTTTGATGATAACAAATAATTTATGCATAAGTATGTATATTATAATCAGATTTAAACATAATGAAATAACCATACTTACTCCCCTACATATATGAAAATTTAAGTCTATAACAATACATAACAATACCTATTTCTCCCGCTTTGTTATCAACAAAAAGAGAAAAATATTTATGCTAAACATGACATTATTTCTTCAACATGAGCTAACACTTCAAACAAATCATCCAGGTTATGAACATAGTCCATAACTTCACCCATCCAAATAGGTAGGCAAAGACTTGCCATAAAGACCAAAATTTTCACAATGTTCATCACCATGATCTGTTTACAATATGTAGCACATATATTAACTAACCAAACATCATCATAGATAATTAAACACACAATCAACATACTTGACATAGTAGCAACATAAATAACACATTACATAAGTCCTAACAACTCACAACTACAAAGTTTTTGATACTTAAACAAAATAACATAATTGTTTTGAAACTTAACATAAAAACATCCTAAGGTGCTGGAGGAGGTTGCTGTCCTTGAAAATATGCATTAAGCTTTGTGTCCAAGTCTTCAAACTTCTTGATTAGCTCTTCTTGATTACTAATGATATATGAATTCTGAGAATATAGAGCTCTTTGATCAGTTTCAAGTTCAAAAATACGTGCACTTAAAGTGTTGTATTGCACGTCTGAAAAGCATGAGGGTTCTGTAGGAAATGGTGGTGGTTGACTAGAAGAAGCCCCTGCTTGAGTTGAAGATTGTGGAATTTCTTCTTGATGTGGTTTATTTTGAGGATTTTGTTCTTAAATTTCAAAATTTGTCAACTTCATCCTAGTTAGGGCATTGGAATCAAAGAATTCAATGAAACGGACAACAGAATTTTCAGATTGGAGATCCACATGAAATTTGTCAAAGATTTTTGTTAAAAAGGCACCATAAGGAAGAAATCCTCTTGGTATTGTCAGAAGATTATCAAAGTAAATTTCAGCCCAATTAACTTGGATATTTCCCATTATAGCATATAGAGCTTTTGCTAAATCTAGGGAAATGAAATGAAAACTCCCAGTTTTTGGAAATAGGTTATAAGCTAGGATTCGTGCAATGAACCTAGGAATTGGACGAAGTTTGTTTGAGTTATTTAAAGGTTTGCCATATCCAGGAAGAAATATATGATTAGATAAAAGATCAGAATCATTCATCCTAACTGACCTAAGAGAAACTCATTGATAAGGAATATTGAAGATTTTTCCAATTGACTTTGTAGTTAAGTCAATCTCTATTCCTTTAACAAGAGTCTTAAGTTTTTCAGAACCACCTATAGTTCCCACACGTTCTATATTAGTATAGAACAGTTGCACAAGAAATGTATATGTGGGTTTTTTATTTTCAGCAGAGAATAATTCAAGCAAGCCCATATTTTTAAAATATGACCCAAAATTCCAGGGAATAAAATCATCAAATTTCACAAATCGTCCTCGAAGAACTTCAAAAGATGATATTTTGTTAAATTCTTCTAATAAATCAGGACTTTTTAAATAAATGATGATTTCATCATTGACAGAGGTATGGGCTTGCTTAGCTTTCTTAGATCTAGACATGATGAAACAGATAAATAACCAAAAATTCAAAGATCAAGTTTAGAAATATACCCTAAACTATTTGAAACCCTAGATTAGTCGACTATAGCTTGGATTAGTCGACTACCGATCTTGAATGCTTTGACAGATATGAAAGAAAATTGAAGAATTTGATGAAGAATTTGAGAAGATTGAAGATGCCCTAACCTGGAATCGACAGATCTGAAGGGAGGAAGAAGATAGTCGGTTTTTAGATAGGTTAGTGGGTAGTTTTTAGATTT